GGGGGGGGGGGGGGGGGGGGTGCTGGGATGCACTCATGTGAGTGACTAAACGGTCCGTCAGCAATTTCACAGCTGTTAATTACCAGCGCTGCGGCGGCAGGGCCAACGTGCCACCCAGCACGCTGCAGGGGCTCCCGGGCCCCACTGCTCCTACCGCATGTGGGTGGGACCCCCATCACCCATATATATATATATATCACTCATATACCAGCCCTTTCCCCTGCTCCCGAGGGCAGGTGAAACCCAGAGGTCACCTGCTGGCAGACGTCTCTGTTACCTGAAAGTTCACAGCAACCGGGGGGGCAGGTGTTGGGGGATGCCCAGCCTGTGCACCAGAGGTTGGCAGCCAGGGTGCATGTCTGTGTGTCCATCCAAGCCCCATAACAAAGCTGGTAGTGCACAGATGTAAAAGCCCAGCTGCTGCTTTCCCTTTGGGGCTGCACCTTTGCATCCCCATGCCGCATCCTGCCTGCTTCCTCCTTCCCCTCCCCAATTGGCACCTCATTGAACAGCACCCGTGCCTGGGCCTGGCTGTATTTTTGACTGGGAAACCTGCATTGCACAGTTTCCCGTGGCACTGCAGTGCTGCTGGCATGCTTGGGTTAGAGATTTCAGTGCTCCCTACTCAGAGAGCATGGCGCTGCGCATTGCATAGGGACCTCCCGTTGCACAGTACTCCCTGCACTCCTCTAAGACCCCTGCATTCTCCATGTTATCCTCTCCTCCACCATGCAGGGACTGAAAGCTATATTTAAAGGCAGCTCTGGAGGCTTAAGGCTGGGATAAGGGCCAAGCATGTGCCCTTCTCTATATACAGTGCTAGCTTCTTCAGGGACCCAGCTTACTCTGCATTTGGAAGGGATCCCGCTGCCTTGTCTGTCCTGTTCCTGACCTGGTTCAGATTTCCAAAGGCCTGCATGGGGATAAGGCAATCGGGACTCGTAGCAGAGATGATATGTTTTATTTAGACCAACAAGATTTTTGCAAAAAAAAAAAAAAATTCTTTAATTGCAAGCTTTGGGGCACAAACACCCTTGTTCAGGCATCAGAGAAAAGGTTGTAAAAGTTCTCCTGGGTAGAAATGAAAGTCCATTATTTCTGATTGCCTTTTCCTCTAGACCAGTTCGGCTACAACTTGGATGCCTGCCTCCGTGGGGATAAGGGTTTCATATCCCTTGGGTAGAGTCTTTGCTTCACCCTATTGCTGCTGTGTAGATCCCCGGGGGCAGAGGAAGGAGGATTCTGGTTGTTACCCAGGTACTTGTTGCCATGATTATGTTTGGGGAATGGTTAGGAGGCTTTGGTGTCCTGGCTGATGTGCAGCATGGAAGCGATAAAGGCAATGCATTTTCTGGAGCGAGCATTTTTCTTAACCACCTTGAAGCCCTGCAGCAATGCCTGGAGACCACTGGGTCTGGCCCCATGTAGGAGAATTGTCCAGATTGCCACTGCCTCCCTCCTGGACAGACTAAGGTTTTGCTTGCAATGCAGTCAGAGGTGTGATTGCAGCACATGAAGAGATACCCACGTTGGCTGTAAGCTACCTGGCTTGGGTAGCAATTGCACGGTAGCCCTGGCAGCCCAGCCTCCACGTGAGCAAGGGCCTCCAGTACATCCGTGGAAGGCTTGCACAGCCCATGTGTTGCTTTGCTTTGCTTTGCCTCTTTCTGTTCCTGAGCTAGATTATAGCAAGTTTGGATCAATCGACACCTGCCACCATTGCACTCTGCAGCGTAGGTGTAGTTACTCTGCAGGGAAAGGCTCTGGAGAGCTAATGTTTCTCAGCGTTTCCAGAGCTGTCTCTGCCATGCATGCGACAGAGGGCAGTTCTTCAAAAGAGCCAAGAAAACATACTAAAAATACAAAAAACTGCCGTATGCTGGACCCGTTCGTAGGTCTTGCACAGTGTCAGAGAAGAGGTGCCAGGGGAGAGGATAAACAGGGGGCTTTCAAACTCCTCCCCACCCCCAGCTCCTCTCCCATTGCAGCTTCCAGAGGTTTAGGAAGTCCAGCTGTGTGGGATGTGGGATGAGATGCACTGACCCTGGGACCCAGTCAGCAAATTCCTAATGGGACCATTGTCAATTGGAAGATGCTGTGCTGTTGCAATCAAAACTGTCTGTAGGACACATGACAATTGGGATGGCATTTTATTTTAGAAAAAGTATTTGGTGGAGAGAAGTGTATTGATAAGGCCCAAACTATCATTGAATTCATCTGGCGTTGGATCAGGTCTTCCTCATGAAGAGCTTCGAAGCGTGGAAGGGTTCATTGGAAGCACTCTGTCCAGAGAGGATATACATGTATTCACTCCTACTCTTTGCTTAGCCGTCAGGGTGTTCAGATGCACCACATGGAATATAAAGTCACATGGAGCACAGGAACAAAACCATTGGGCTTAATGATCATCTAGTGGGCCTTGCCTATAGGTCTGAAAAGTCAATGTGAAGAATTCTCCCATTGGTTTCCAGAGGAGTGGGATGAGCTCCCGATGCACTTGGCCCGATGGTAAATTATAATGGAAAGCAACTTGCTTTTCCAGTGCCTCGTTAAGGTTCACTTCCAAGAGGTCTTCTTATTGATTTCCAGACATGCTCTTATGAGCTACTGGAGTATGAATTTCAGGTAGGGCTGCTCTTTGCATCACCATCAGAAAAGACACAAGTGAAGGGGAGGAGGAAGGGGCACGCACACACACATGCAAGGGTTATTGGTCACGTCTACACATGGAATTAATTCAGTGCAATAAACTTCGGTGCATACCATGCCAGAGTTGATTGCTCCTGGGCGCAGCGTCTTCACATGCACCCGAGACTGCATGTTGGGCTGGCAGGGAGCCCTGGAGGGGGTCGAACCTGCCAGCCCGGGGTTACTCTGACCTAGATCAATGTGCCGCAGAGAGGCTGACTGTGGCATGAGGGTGCTTTAGTGCTGGGCTAGCCGCACTAAAGCACGCCCATGTCCTAGCCAACCCCATCAGTGTCTACACGTGCATAGCTGCACACTCAAGGATGCCCCCATAGGATAGTACTTGTGTGCACAAGTCCTAACCTAGGGTGGCACTAATTATTTCCTGGAGGCCTAATACAGCCTCCCGTATTGTCACTGAGGCTTCACTGAAGAGCTAATTAGGCCGCTCCGCAGCAGACGTCTCGTGTAGATCTTACCAATTCTTCCTGGGGTGATAAAGAATAAAGATAATCCAGGCAGCGTCCCACCCCCTCTAGGGATCTCTAATCTACAAAAGTGTTTTCCAACTGATGGCAACTAGGAAGCTTGGTCGTGTGAGAGATCTTGCCTTTAATGCGAAGCAGCTTCTTCCTCCCCTAAACACAAAGACGCGGCGTTTTGCACCGGCCCTCTGTACAATGCGTAGGCATTTGATTTAAAAGAAGACCATCCCCTGGGAAGTCTCTTCTGGTCTAGAAAAGCACTCCATTTCCAGAAAGCCTCATGCAATTCAGAGAAAACGGATCCATCCACCTCGGAGACTCTGAGAAGATGGATGGTTTTTAGGCGCCCGACGGGACTTGGGAGCAGCAGAACGAAAGCCTGGGATCTGCGTTTTGTTAGCCCTAATGAGATTAGCTGCTTGGCTGAGGCTCTGTAAGCAGAACCACCCAAGGGCCGACTGCACAGTCAGTTGAAAAGTGATTTGGGCTGCTCCGTTTTCTTCCTTGCGGAGGAATCCCGCGCCTGGTTTTGTTTTGCAGCGACGCATCCCGTGATGCAGAGAGCTGCGTCCTCGGCATGCATGGCACTTTCCACATGAGATGGAGCGGCCCGGCCCCGTGGGGCCGCGAGGAGGAACACATTTCTCTTTAGCAGATCCGTGCGGTGGAAGCCAGCGAGCGAGAGACCACCGGAAAGCTGCAGTGTCGTCAAAGCAGTGGGTGGCTGAAGGGGCCACCTCCCACCGTGCTGGCATGTAGACCTCTCGTCCTTTGAGCCAGTCCTACCAACCGCACCCGCAGCAAGGCCTACGGGGCTGTGGCCAGCTGCTGGGTTGGTGTAGGGTGGGTGTCCTGCAAGGGATGGGGACAGCGGTGGGAAATTGGGGTCCTGTTGCAGAGCCAGGGCAGTCTCTCCCCCTCCGTTTTCTCCTCCCGCTCTCGCTCTACCAGGTCAATGTTGAGTCAAAGCTGTCTAAGGCAAGGCTTATCTCTCCATGTGCATCTGTAGCCTATCCGCCACTATGTTTTTGGCTTGGGGCTGGAGATGGGAGTAGCCAGAGTCTCTTCAGGGGGATTACGGGAATGTCACTGTTTCCCTCCCTATGGGATGCTAACCTTCTGGACATCCATACGCCTCTTTAGGAGTAGGATAGGATCTGGTGAGGCTATTGATTTTTCTCCATTTGTGATGACCACCAAGTGCTGGTGTCCTGCTTGCCCCAAGCACCCTATGTCCTTGCAAAAACACCTGTAATTTAGTATGGACAGTATCAGTATGAAGCCGCTGTTGCCGTTCCACCTTTCTTTGACTGTGAAAGGCTTGTCCAAGTCTGAGTTGCAACTTGGTTGTCTCACCAAGGTGGTGAATTGGCCCCATATGCAGAACGGAGCCAGCACTTGGCCCCAAAGTCCCCTTTGTCCTCACTTCAGTTCGATCCCAGGGTGCGGGGTGCGTGCCTCCCCGGTGAGAAACTACGTGGCACTTGCAGGGTGTCCAAAGGGCTGGGCTGAACTGAAGCAGCTTCCCCTGGAGAAGAAAAGCCACGTGCTGGATGCACGAGCCGCCACGAAGCAAGTGCAT